GTATGTATGTATGTATGTATGTATGTATGTATGTATGTAGGTATGTAGGTAGGTATGTAGGTAGGTATGTAGGTAGGTATGTAGGTATGTAGGTAGGTATGTAGGTAGGTATGTAGGTAGGTAGATAGATAGATATAAACTTGGAGAGGTGGAGGTATGCACTTGAAAGAAGAGGAATGAAAGTCAGTCGTAGTAAGACAGAGTCCATGTGTGTGAATGAGAGGGAGGAGGTGGAACAGTGAGGCTACAAGGAGCAGAGGTCACAAAGGTGCAGGACTTCAAGGACTCAGGGTCCACTGTCCAGGAACATGGGGAGTGTGGTGAAGAGGTGAAGAAGAGAGTCCAGGCAGGATGGAGTGATGGAAAAAAGTTTCAGGAGTGATTTGTGATGAAAGGGTGTCATCAAAGATCAAAGGAAAAGTTTACAAACAGTGGTGAGACCAGCTCTGTTGTATGGTCTGGAGACAGAGACATGGACAAAAAGACAGGAGACAGAACTACAAGTGTCAGAAATGAAGATGTTGAGGTTCTCCTTAGGAGAGACAAGGATGGAGAAGATCAGGAATGAGATCATCAGAGGTACAGCACAGGTTGAACACCTGGGAGGTAAAGTTAGAGAGGACACACTGAGATGGTTTGGACATGTCCAGAGGAGGGACCGTGGGTATACTGGTAGAAGAATGTTAGAAATGCAGCTGCCAGGAAAAAGACAAAGAGGAGATATATGGATGCATTTTCAAGTCTAATAATATTCGATGGCTGCGATAGAGCCATTGTAACCATGGTAAATGTAAAGCCGTGTCATACATGGAGTATATTCGATACATCGCCCAGCCCTAGGCTGACGTCTATGTTTTTATTGCCATGCCATCTACCCATAATACCGTTGAGATCTACTGGTTGACAGGTAGATCACGATGAACATATTGGGCACTGCTGGTCTAGACCGTTTAAAAATATTTTCTTTGTATGCACATGTACACACACCTGAAAAAGACACCTACATTTTCAGTGGAAAGTTTTATGCAGGTGGAGTAGTGCTCTGAAATTTGAGCATTTGACAACTTGGGTACAGCAGCAGGAGTCCCCACAGCACTGCAAAGAAAAAGCAGATCATCTTAGCCAGGCACATGGACACTGTGCTTAGTTCACTACAAGCCCAGTCTTTGAGGATGATTGTTCAAATGTTTGAGCCCTTGGACAGTGGTGATTCATGTTTTTCCACCGGTACAATGATCAACAGTCAACAATTTACCTGTGAGAAGCAGAATCATTGAAGGAAGAATCGTTGGCAGACTGAAGGTCAATGACTCTGGACCTCCTGCGCTGACGACGCTCCTGCTCGTCGTCATTGCCAGGGAAAGCTGTGAGCAGCGGGGTGCTGCAGGCTGCAGGGGACAAACCCTTGTCCTTTAACGAGGACGACGTCCATCCTGGACGCACCCGGGAAACTGGGGTGGACATGGCACTCATTTTAGCTAAAGACAAACAGAAAATAAATTAAACAATCATTTATGTTTAAAGTAGTAAAAGAGGAGCTGTTGTTCTTTCTGTTTATGAACTCAGATGATGAGAGCCGTTTCATGTTGTACAATGAAAGGTTGGTGTGTACGTCCACAATGACCACACCACTTTATTTATAAAGCACTTAAAACAGCTACAAGGCCAACCAAAGTGCTGTACAGACAGAACAACAGGTAACACACAAAGCAAAATACAAAATGAGGTAAATCAGAATATAGACATAAAAACGATGCAGATAATGACGACAAACCAGTGTGGAGCATAAAGGATCAAAACACAGATCATCTGGTGTTGAAAGCTGCTGAATAGTAGTGAGTTTTTAAACGGGACTTGAAAACTGAGAGGGAGGGGGCCTGTCTGACAAGCAGAGGTAACTCGTTCCAGAGTCTTGGTCCTGCTACAGAGAAGGTCCTGTCACCTCTGCGCTTAAGACGAGTTCCTGGAACTGTGAGAAGCAACTGGTCCGCTGACCTCAGGGAACGTGGTGGGACATACGGTTGTAGCAGATCAGAGAGATGGGGGGGGGGGGGGGGACACTGTTCAGTGATTTGTAGACATACAGGAGTATTTTGAACTGGATTCAAAAGTGAACCAGTAACCAGTGCAGTGAGGCCAAAACTGGTGTAATGTGCTCTCTTTTGCCTGTACTGGTTAAAACTGGGGCTGCTGCATTCTGGACCAGTTGTAGTCGTACAATGGAGGTCTGACTGATACCAAACAGGAGCGAATTGCAGTAATCAAGCCTCGATGTAATGAATGCATGTATTACTGTCTCCAGGTTCTTTTTGGACAATATGGGCTTCAGTTTACAAGACAACTAAAGAAAAAACACAAATAATAAGATAAATGTAGCAAAAGGCTGTGTAGACTGATTTTTACTACATTTATGCTGCACAACAAGTCAGATGGGATCAATAATGTGGGAATAAATGTAACTTTTATAATTATTTGACTTTTATTAAGTAAAAATTTACTATTAGTTTGGACTAAAATTTAATTTAAAAAATTGACCTTATTGGCTGAAATTGACACTTTTAGGGAGACTTTTTGTGAAAAACATTTTCTGAGCTCTCAGCTCCTCCTGGTCAATAATCAATGTGTTTGGTTACAAATAAGTGCGCGCTCCCGACACGGGCAACAGAATTTCGCACGAGCCAAGATGAATATGATCCCTAGAGATTTGTTCCAGAAGCTCCCCTGTTATTTTAAATCAGCTTAAACGTGTTCTATGTATTTTATGTGTTATTGTCCTTTGCATGTTTCGTTTCTGCTGTCATTCAGTTCAGTTTATTTAAACAGCGTCAACAGTCACCTGAACATTCATGTACTGTACACAACATGTTGAACACAACATGTTGAAAACTGGTTCAACATGTTGAACACATCATGTTGAAAACT